TACACACGAATTGTAAACGTGTTTTAAATTACGCAATCGAACACAATAAATTTGTCGATCAAAATTTACCTGCTATTGGTCCATTGTTAGTTTGTGGTCGTGCACCATTGTGCACTGATATGTGCACTGATATCGTTCCGCCTATAGTACGATCCGGTTCAATTGGACAAAACCGACGAATGGATATTTCTAATTCTCAAATGAACAGTGAACACATCCGATTTACTCATTCGCATTGCTGCATCTCATGCACATTTTCCAATTGAACAGGATTGTCTTATTATACACGTTAAGCTGGCTACTCAACAATGTTCACCCTTCTATCTGACAATGAAGATCAAAGTGCTGAAAATTGGATTCGTAATGAAATAAGCAAAGATTATACATATGATTATAATTAAATATTTTTGTGCTTGTTAAATAATGTTGATACACCACTGCAAAATCTCATTGGTTATTAAAATCACCGTCCCATATTTTTTGTCTGGATAAATTTCTTCAACATTATCCAAATGCATTATTAATCATGACTCATCGAAGTCTCGATGAAACTCTTCCTTCAATGTGTAGCTTGTCCTTGGCAGCTGCAGACTGGACTTTTGACAACACAACCTTGATCTCTCGAGATAGAATAATAAAGTGATGCTGCCAATTCATGGATACAGAAATCAAATATATAATGAAATTTCGAAATTTACAAAATGACATCTTTAAGCAGATATAAAAAGATACTTTCGATGGTTCCTATGACAATTTAATGAAAGATCCAATTGGTGTTGTTCAATAAATCTATGAACATTTCAATCTTCATTTGCCGGATGAAATGAAAATTGCTATGCACAATTGGCTTCTCGAAAATCCTCAAGAAAAACAAGGTCGACATAAATATTCTCTTGCTGATTTTAGTTTCAATCGGAAAGATATCGAAACACATTATTCTGATTATAACAAGTTATTTTTTTCTTCAACATATTCGACTAATCAATCTTCATCGAGAAATTCAGTTCAATCATTATTGATACCTTATTTTTTCTTGAACTGTATTTAAATTTTTATCACAAATAGTTTTTGCATCACTTCGTTGTTTATCATTTTGATCAATTTTGAGTAGCTGTCACTATGGTAAGAAGAAGCGTTGTTACATTGACCGAGAATGGAGTGAGAAAATAAACAATATTCTTCGCTGAATTGTAGATTTTCAATGTCGGAAAGTATCAAACTCAACATGATGTTTGTGTTTGTTGTTCTTGTTGATTATCAGCTAACTTTCGATGTATGACATCATGAACAAAACTAGAGATAGACAGTAGAAGGGCGTGGGTGTCTGTATTTAGTAGATATAACCCCATACCCACCACAGCCACATCTCACACCCATTTAGTCAGCATCGACACGTAATGATACTGTGAAGATTTATTCTGATATATCTCTCAATAGATTTTTCGATCTATACCCATACTTTACAACGATATCGATAGAAACAGGTTTTTGGTCAACCCTATGGAAGTACTATGGATATGTGTCGAAGAAACGATTAAGAGATGTGGCAAAATAAACCTTTACAGTAAATAGTATTAAAAGACGTCGTTGACTTATTTTTAATACAAAAAACCGAAACATTTTGGAGGCAGCGAATCGTCTTATCCATGTTCGTTTTTTGAGTTGTTTTAAGATTTAGAAAACCATCAAAAATACTTTTCCGCTAGAAAATTGGTTACAGGATGTGAATATCCTCTTGAACTTTAAATTAGTACATCTGCACTTTAGAGAACAATTAGAACGACTAAAATAAACTATTTGTACCTATTTTTAGATGTAACAGTTCTTTTTTGGCCAAGATCAGAATGGATTTTTCATCCAGTGTTACACTACTCATATTTTTACATACTTCCATGGTTTAAGGATTGCAATTATAATCTTCAACTTTATGATCAAATAGATTCTATAAAAAGTGATTATTCTACTAAAAAAATCTACACTTGTGCCCGATAAACATGAGTATGATATTGATGAATGTGCTCATTTGTCTCGATGTTTTCCAAAAGTAAGTAGTTACATTATTGTCACTTATCTATATTGCAATGCATCAATTCAAGCTAGAAATATTATAATGTTGTTCATTTGATGTAGCAAAGAAATTAGCCAAAAAAAAACTACTTTTTGTATTCGATAGAGAAAACTGATTTGTTGAATTGTTTTTCTAAACAACGGATCTAAAATATCTAATCGTATTTTTTCTTGAAACATACTATTGCTAAAGAATTTTGTTATGCAGCGTTAAATTAGAGATTATTAATTTTTATTGTACTTGAGCTATTCGAATGAAAATGATTTGTATTTATATGTCAGGTCTGTTCCAACAAGATTTGATTAAAAGAAGCAACGTTTCTAAAGAAGACAAAATATATTCATTTTAAAAAATTGCTGCAATAAGAAAAAGTGTATAACTAAATGACAACAAACGAAATGTAAAGAGAAATCTGTACGTATTGAATAAAAAATTTATTGAGTATTTTAGATTCAATATCTCAATATAGAAATGTGGCATTCGACTTCATCACCTCTATTTCAAGGCATTGCTCAACCACTTATGTACTGTTGGTCTCTTTTAACTTCTTTAACAACATCAGGAGTATATCTTTCAAGAATATTGGCATTTTTACCAAAACTTCGCGTAACCAATTTGTTCAGTAGTATCGATCAATTAACAGCTTGGGCTACATGTCAATAATATATATACAGGTTAGTTCAAAAGTAAGGATATCTTTTCAGTCTTTTTTTCTTTACAGATTCATAGTACGATCTTATATGTAAGTTTGTAGTTTTTTTTGTAGTGTTGTGTTTTTATCTTTTGATCTGTTCGATTCAAAATGGACAGAATAATTTGAATTCTATTGGTCTTTATGCTGCTTTAGGTTTGTTGTGTAGAAAACTACTCAAAAATGAAATATAATGAAACAAGACATTGACTTCGATTAGATAACAACGAACTTATGTGACAGTCATATAAGACTATATAGAAGATATTCGTATGTTTTCCGGCAAATTCTTAGAACCAAAGATTGCTAATAGGTCCTTTCTCTGAATATTGTCATCTAGTATATGTAGTTCAAATATAAGGTCCCACTATGGATCTATGCAGAGAAAAAGGTTGCAAAGATGTCCGTATCCCTTTATTTTCTGACAACCCTGCATATGTACATATCATTTTTCTGCGGTTTAGTATACTTATCCATATGACTTGAACGCAACAGCTGATGCAATCATATATTCTTAAGAAGAACGATGATTTTTGAAGCTTACTAATGGTTTCACAAGCATAGATGTAACCGGTACCGATCATTGAAAATTCAGACCAGTTTCATCTCTGTCTTTGAGTACTCCTATAAACTATTATCATTGCACTGAATAAATCTTCCCTTCTGCATCACAGATAGAAGTCCATTAGGCTTCTAATTTGTTTTAAAAGTCAAAGGTCTAAGGTGAGTTTTTATTGTGATCAACTTTTTTCGTGCTGTACCTTAAATGTTTCTTATTCGCAAACACAGGAATGCTCAAGAATTCACAAATCGAAGTTTTCAAACTATTTTGGAACTTTCATTAGAGCTATGGAAATTTTTCAATGAACCAAGAATTGGTTTCAGTACTTTCTTAGTTTTATATTATCAGATAATCTGAATAGTGCGTTCTTTTAAGATACAAAAAACTGTGTTCACTATGATATTATAACTTGAAAAACTGTCCATCACTGAAGAAGTTCAGAAGAAACCTTTATGATGCATAATACGAATACAGCTCTGCCAGGTGACTTCATCTTAGACGCTTATGCACTGTCCGGAAACAAAACGAAATATATTTCAGTTCTCTAAACAGAAATATGAAGTAAACTCTTTCGTACTAATTAAAAAGAACCTCCTATTTTTTGTGGAATGAATAATTCGGAATTCATGAGCGGCTTAAGAATCATAACTTTGTGTGACTTTTCATTCGTATCCACACCTGCAATCCACATCCTGTAGATTTTGCTCGATAAATTTTATTCGTATTGATTTAAATGAACGAGATCTATTATTATTATTATCTTTACCAAAGAAACTATAGTCAAGGAATATAATTTAAATCACAAAAGATTGAAAAAAGATGTTAGACGTGATAATATTGAAGTTTCTTTTTTTCATTTATTCAAAATTTCTCAATAATATATAAAACATCATTAAAACTTTCTCTCCATTTTAGAAACTTGAGTCTTGACCAGATGATTTTACAGGCATTTTTTTAATTTCAATCGCTTATTATCATGGTATTCAACATAAAATATCCATCGTGAATGGCTAAAACACATAGAAATAGAAAATTTTTAGAAATGAAAACTCAATTAAAAATAAAACAAAGAAATGTCTTGACAACTCGTTTATTCTACATTGGTGATTGGTTGAGTAATGACTCATGTCGAATGAAGAATTAAGCAATACTACACACATAATATTATGATAAATGTGACCGAGAAGAAAAAGAATTTCATCGCTTAAGATTACATGTAGTCATATTCCATATCTAGTTGACAAACACAACACGGTGCGTTTGATAAAGTAAGCTGCTGTGTGTGAAACACGATCTAAAAACAGTGTTGATGTACGTATATGGGTGAAAATTTCCACCACCATTCGACAGACGCTAGTCAGAGATCGCCACACATGGCGATAGACGTCTTAGCAATATTCTCACAGACCATTTATCAATATCGTTTGGTATAATAATATATGAACTACTGTCTAATTGGATATTTAGAAGATTAAATAAAAAGATGGTGAATAAATTTGTTTCAAAATAGACAAAATAAAATAATTTTCTTGTGCAAACTCATCATTTTCACATTTTTATTTCACATGAATTGCATTAAAAGCGGTTTAGATTGTTCCCTAATTTGCCCTGTTTTGTACAGAATTGTTGTAGTATTGAAGAAGATTTTTATTTTTTGTTTTGTTTTGGTAGATTATTCAATGAATAATTCAATTAATAGCAGCCAAACAACAAATAATGCTAGCTCTGTTGAATCAAAGAATATACAATCAAGTGAGCCGAATGTTACTTGGCAACATATTTGGTCTTTGAATGAAACACGAGATGCACTCTCTGATTCATCATTTATCGCTATTCCTAATGAAATTCTTTTGCGTATATTTCGATATCTATCCGTTCGAGATTTATGCAATGTTTCATTGATCTGTCGATCATTTAAAATGGTCGCCGATCATGATGATATATGGAAATTAAAATGTAATAGTAAGTATTATTTTTCTTTCTAAATTCTATATAAATATTAATGTTAAAAACTAACTATTGATTAGCATCAACAAAATTATATTCCAAATCATTTAAACAAATTTATATGAAATGGATTCATGAAAAAAGTTCACGTAATATACACCTACGAGATATTTCTGATTCGTTCATGCACAGAACTGCATGTGTTAAAGGTCCACTTCCTTATTATCGTCCTCGATATTCGAATAAACATACATTTGAATCAATAGGTGGATTCGAAAACCATCCGAATGCATCAGTTCACAAGTAAGAAAATATTTTTCTTTCAATACATTTTATTGAAAGATTTGAGCAATGAATTTTTAATATTACCATATTTCACTTTTACATTTATCATATAAATCTTAACAGTAAATCTAAAATATACTTCAAAATGTTACATGATAAAAAAAACACATACCAATGTAAGATAGAAGAGATACATAAAAAAAACAATAGTTAACATATTAATAAACTTAATATTATTTAACTAGATATTTTATTTTCTCTAACTAATGAAACGTCTCATATAATACATCAGTTTACAATGGATTGTAAGCAGCTCGACACATCGATGTTGGATTATGTCTAGCAGAGGTCTCATATGGGCTGGGCCAAGCCCGGCCCGGCCCATCCAGCCCATGGGCCGAAATTGTAATGGATACCCATGGGCCGAAATGGGCCGAATTTAAAACAAAACGAAAATTATCAAAACTTCTTTCTCAAAGTAAAACTGAAATTGTTTTTGTGAATGATCATCGGATAAAAGCATAATCGTTACTGAAAATCAGACATGTAAAAGTTCGTCATTAATTATCCATGTGATTCTTTATATGTAATTAGCTGCTTTTACAGCTCTCCTACATATGAGTTAACAGAGTGGCGCATAACTTTTGTGACTATCTTCATTTTAGTTTGTCGTTTTTGCACGCTATATGTGGCGAGCAGAACATATTTTGAAAGATTGGAAAAANTCCGTTCTTCATACCCACACCCACACTCACACCCACACTCACACCCACACCCACACCCACACCCACACCCACACCAATACCCACACCCAACCGGCACCCACACCCACACCCACACCCACACCCACTCCACCCACACTCACCCACACCCATACCCACACCCAAAGTGTTTTTTGTTTTCGAGATATTAAGTTCTCGAAAATCAATGCAATCGCACGTAAGATACAAGAATACCATGCTGTTTTAAGAACTCAGTATCTCGAGAAGAAAACACAAATCCGAACTGATATTGTTAGGATGTTCCACTCCCAGATAGGCCTATCTGAGGGTACCATATTGCATCAAAAGGCTATCATTGGATAGTTTTTAAATGCCATGCAATGGGTCGAATTTCAGTGAAATGGCTATATACTTGGAGATAATGGCTAAGAGCACTCTATTGAGGGTTTTCAACGGCGTTGAGATCTATCTCATGCGCAAAGTTTGAATCTGAAAGATATTCATCATTTCAAACGGTTCCCTCATTAATTCAACATTTATCTGAACTTCTCTACGTTGAAGTCGTAGTCGCTAAGAAGAAGCTAGCTTTAATATCACGAGCAGTAATTTGTAAAAATAAGGACTGGATACAAGTGTTTTCGAATGGATCGGAATGCCCAAATGACCTTTTTCCCACTTCCCTTTACATCACCATTCTGTTGCAAGCTTCTTGTGCTGTTAAGATCGAAAGTGACTTGAAGAGTTTTTTTTTCGCTCTCTGTCGCTCTCAATTGCATATGCCTTCATTTTCAAAGGATGTCCACTGTTTTGAGTTGCTAGTGGAAGTCACCAAACATGGCGTACTGTTTACATTAATTTCTCTAGGCTACACATATTCAAATGCAATACAACAAAAAGAGAGAGAGACCTTCCAACTTCATAAAAATAAAAGGGCACAAAAGCAGTCGATACTTATCCCTTTCTCTCGTGCACGAACAATTTGAAGCAGTAATTTGTCCGCTCCGTAAATACATTTTTTTATGATTTGCCTGCTCGTCTTTCGACAGACCTGGAAGCATAACTAGTTCGGGTTAAAAAAGAGCCGAAGTTTGCTAACTGGTAGAATATTCGCCATCAGGATGACAATGGCTGCTAGCGCTGATGATCCTACAGCAGCAGCTGAAATCCTGTAACTCCAATGCTCTTCCACCAGAATAAACACTTTTATCTGTCTTGCCACCACCATTCAACATTTCACTGAAGAAAATGTGTAGCAGTCATGAACTTGTGAATATTCTCAGATTTTTTCAGAAAACTATTCAATTTGAAATCACGACCGAAATGCTTTCGAGTTTCTAAAGAAGAACTGATATCTTTGAGCTTATTCATCAATAAGCTATATAGTGTTCACAGTCTTAAAGTAAATCTCTTTTCAACGTTCTAGAATCGAGGTACTATCATAGAAAACAATCGTTTTAAAGAGCCAAGGACATGCGTTCTGTTTGCACTACCTTGTTAAATTTCATTCTGCTCTGCCTTCTCAAATCACAAGGCACGATGAAAATTAATTCTTTTTCGTTGTCTTGACGGTGCACAAAGTTTGTGTATATTGTTTGTTGGGATGCAAGTAAATAGCAACGCACACAATGCTTCTTTCGACACTTATGTACACAGAAGCCATTTTCTTTGTTCTTTAGCATTTCTTCAGTAAACAAAGTATCGCCGTGCTCAGAGTCCTCGCGACTAGAGTCCGTCGGGTCCGGGCCAGGGTCTGAAGATTTTTATTGATCAGTGTCACATTGAAAAAAATTAGATTCATATTAGATTTTTTTTAATTTCTTTAAATTCTTGTTCATCTTACTCCAAAAATATTAAATTTATTTTTAAAGAATAGAAAAAAAAACAGCAATAAAGTTCTTCCTGGCTATAATATGTAAACATAGTTGCAATCATAAATCTATAAATTAGACCAAATATTATCTGGTTCTTCATTATTGTCTATACTTTCAATAATATTCAAACAATAATCATGATCATCATTTGTTTTATACGCATTGTTTCTTCCATCAAAACCTATTCTGTGAGATGGGTGTGAGTGTGGACGCGTGTGTATCGGTGTTTAAATAGACACTCTCGCATCCACACCCACATCCACACACCCACCCCCACATGAGTATTAACTCGAAAACTTAATGGTTGGTGAGCGGAAAATAACAAAAAACAACTCGAGTTTTGCCCACCCGTTCTGAATACATCTCTTCTCAATAAAAACCGTTACACTGCCCTCAAACTCTTAATATGCTGTCAAAATAAATTAATATAAAGGCTTCCGATACTATATCTTTGAGAAATTAATTTCGACAAAAAAAACTTTTACTGCCGAGCTTTGAACTATGGCTCGGAGGGGAGTAATATAGTTTCATTCCAGAGTTGGAACCGGTCGAGAATATTCTAAACAGTCCGGTCAGGCTGGTCCAAATATTAGACCGTCTCGGCCCGACCCGTTTCAAAGGTTTTTCAAACCGGTAAAAATCGGTCGGCTGGCCAGATCATTTTTAATCGGTTGAAGGAAGTAGCTTCAACAATCACTCAGTTTCCTTTTTCTGCTCGCATTTTTAGAATCACTTAAAAAAAAAATCATATCATAGCTGTTCATGTTTTAAAGATTTCTCAAGATGAATTTGTGATGTCTCTTTACCGCGAAAATTAGACAATTTAACCAGTAAACTGATTTCTAAACGGCAGTTCTTGAAGTTTTGCCCTCAAAGTTTACTAAGAAACCTAGTGTTTCTCTGAGAATTACGGTCGAAACTCAAATCTAGTCTTCAACAAAACATCAACGAGATAAGTTCAGAAGTTACTCTCAAGTAACTTAGTTTTGCTTGTGCTTTTCATAAAGCGAAAGATAGGTCGATTAAAGCAATAAAAAAGTGTAGACAAACAGAAAAAGATAAAACTGTTAATTTCGGAAGCAATACTGTTTGGCTATTTTGATAAATGCGTTTAAACTTGGTCTTGACACGTTTTATCAAAAAAAAAATAGCATACTAAAAAAATCTTTTAAAACCAAGAAAAATCGACCGGACCGATTCCAACTCTGTCTCGTTCGAAAGTCTATTGCTTCCCCTAAAAAAAATGATCTTGCGCTACCCATACCCACCCCCACACTCACACTCTTTTCGTTTTTTCTAGTAAATGTTGGATTTATAGAGACAAAGTAAGCATCGTGTTTCAATTGAATGCATATATAAATCTTGAATCCTATTGGTGTTTGTAGTAGCGTCACATTGATGCAAAGTTTGAGAGCTAGTGCCTTATCATTAGTGTTTGCATTTGATTAGATAGCAAATGTGGCAATAGTGACATGACACATTTTATTCTTATTAAATGGTATCAGGTGAAAAATATAGGGTTGTCTCTCTGCTGTTAAAAACTTTAAGACTTATTAAGTATTCATACTGTCCTGCTCATCATCTGGAACGTTTGTTGCCGCATCTAATTTTATTGTCATAAGGTTTTTCCACGTGATGAATTGTGATATATGGCAAGAATCGAATATCATATAGTTTGACAGTGAATATTTTTTTTAAACAACTTTCCATACTTCAGAAAAACTCTAGAAATCAATGGAACTTGGTTACAGTATTTCATACTAAAATATCTTGGAATTTCTCCAATGGTTTTCGACCAAAACTGCGTTCAAGTTTCATCGATTTCTAGTTTTTCTATCAGATACAATGACATATTCGAATTTTATCTATGTGAGGCGTGATGATCTATGTATTGATATTACTGTAGTAGTAATGATTGATTTAGATAAGATAAACGCAAGATGCAATATCAAAAGATTGGACATACAGATATTGAAATATCTCGTGTAATTCTTGGCTGTGGAAATTTCGGTGGTATTGGTTCTGCTCCATTATTTTTTAATCAAGGAGAAAATGAAGAACAAGCATATGAAATTCTTGATGCTGCAGTTCGCCTTGGTATAACAACATTTGATACGGCTGATGCTTATGGAGGTGGAAGAAGTGAATTATATATAGGAAACTAGTTGAAAAAATGTGACGAAAAAGTTAGAAGTAATATAGTATTAAGTTCAAAAACATATAATCCAATGTTTATTGGCGATAGTAAAGGATTATCAAAAGAAAGAATATCAGAAAAAATTGATGGCACACTGGAACGTCTTGGAATAAAACAGTTGGATATGTATCTTTCACATGAAATGGATGAAGAAACACCACTGGAAGAAACACTTAGTTGTTTTAATGAATTACAAAAATATGGAAAAATACGTGCATATGGTGCATCAAATATTACTTGTGAACAATTAGAAAAAAGCATATCTATTTGTGATAATCTTGGCTTAAATAGATATGAATGGGTACAAAATTCAATGTCATTATTAAACTATCGTGAAGCAGAAAACATGTTACAAATGTGCTCTAAATATGGTCTAGGTTTTACTCCTTATAGTCCATTAGCTGGCGGATGGTTAACAGGAAAATATCAAAAAAGTCTCAATTATGAACCTGGTTCTCGAATGACACTACGACCTGAACCATATGAAATTTATGTTAAACATCAAGATAGTATATATGATGGTTTAAATTCAATGAGAAAAATCAGTAAGGAACGGTTTGGTAATATAAGTGTTGCTGGTTTAAGTTTAGCTTGGTTACTTAGTGATCCTCGAATAACAGGAATAATTATTGGACCTCGCAAACCAGAGCACTTAGAGCCGATACGTGAAGCATTAAATACGAATCTTAATGAAACTGATCGAGTAGACTTAGCTAATTTATTGCCAGTATTGTAAATCGATACGTTTCTGTATGTCCATTAAATGTGGAGCTCAATTTCATTTTTCTGCTTCAATTTCTAAAGATGGATATACTCATTTGTCCTAACTTTTGTTTTACGTTTGCCATCATCGCATAGTTAATTTATCGAAGCAATATAAAAGCACTGCTGTTTTTTTTCTTTCACTGTTTCTTTCCATTCTGTGTTGCATTTTACGAGAACTCCACTTTGTTGTCTGTATTATCTCCTGATAGTGATATATTATCTGATCGTTTTTTTAATACAGAAAGGTAAAAATAACACACAAAGAAAAAGATTTCGTGGAAATTACGATAAAGATATTCGTAGTTCAATAGTAGTTAGAAAAACCGCATTGAAGTATTCGATGTGTTTTCATTCTGCAATACTGCTGGAACACAGTGAGGACTGTGATATAGCATAAAATGATACATTATGTGCCAGTGATTGGACTAACGTTTTGGAAAGATAAACGAGAAAAGTGGTTTGATGCTTTAGAAATGGATAACCAGTTTTTTGTTCATTGATAGACTTTCTTATGTTGAAATTTGTGAAGTAAAATCAAGAAAGAAATAGCGAAACTTTCATTAACTGTGTTTTTTTCGTATTTCATTCGAATAAATTCGATTGAAAACAAAAGTTATCTTGATCGTTTAGTTGAATCTCTTGCATGCATCCATATGATCATATTAATTGACGAGTCTCAATGTGAACGATTGTTCACTAAGTCTTGCAATTCATCTCTTTTAATATTAGCACGATGCAAAATCAGTCTTTATAAGATTTAGTTGTAGAAAAAAAGCTTTCGGAATAATCTTCACATAATCCGATCGAAAAATAGATGAGTCTTAAAACTGTCACTCAATCTTTCAGTAAATGATCTCTGTAAAAAGTCTAAGAGATCAATTTATTGTAAATTATTATTTTTAGAAAATTTTCATTGTATTTACTTGGGTTGAATTTTGAGATCAAAAAGAAAGTCGAAATGTGAATCTTGAAAAATTAACACAATCGATAATGAATAATTGATTGGTACTCTGTGTGATGACGCACATGAAACGATCGTATCTATGCTATCGTATATGCTCAGTGTTTAATATTCCGGTATATACGGCATAGCAATAGAAGTTCAACATAGACCGAATTTGTTCTGCTAACACATATTTCACATCATGTCACTCGAATGAATGAAATCTGTATAACAGAAATGCTGACAGCGAGCAAAATACGGTATGTCATAATAATATTTATTCAAATCAATATTTTGATGAGAGAGACAGATAAAGAGCATTTGTCTTTTGCTCATAACAAAGGTTAAGCTTGATATAATGAAACCAAAACCAATAATCTATCAAATAATATCAAGCAAAGTGGAAGAAAAAGTCGAGGCATTTTATCTACTACACCAGTATAAATGTTTAATATGGGGGCATCTGCGTTTTTCATCTGTTGGTTTTTACATGAAGAGATTTGCGGTAAGTAAAATCGTATCGAAACAAGAGCATAAAATTGATGCTATGAAGAAAAAACATTCCATTGAATATCATTGATTTTTTTCCTGTATTACTTAAATATCAAACAGCTTTAATGAAATATTTCTACTGCAAGTTTGATATTTTTCTTTCATAATACATTATCATTTCATTTATTTTTGTATCGATCGTTGTGGCTTTAAGAGTCGAATACTTATTGTTTTAGACTTCGCTTCATTTAGAATCAGTAATATCAATCAAAGAAAATGCAATTGTATTCATTAATTGTTTTCACACTTCTGTGGTGTTCATCGATTCAAACTCCGTCAAAGTTAACTATCGATGAATTTTTTGATGCGACTACTTTTCGATCAGTAAGTATCTCTCCGAATGGTCGATATTTATTGATATATAGTCAACGTCCAGCATGGGATTCCAACTCTTTCGAGAACAGTTTATGGCTTTATGAAACGAATGGACGACGAAAACAATTAATCACCAAACAATTATCCGGAATCATGCAACCGAAATGGTCACCCAGTGGAGATTGGTTCGTGTACTTAATCAATGATAAAGCGACAGCCAATTCAACAGATGACCTTCATCGCTTTCGACGTTCAACCGATAAGCAGACGCAAAATGAGCAACAGATTCATTTATATAGTGTCACCTTAGATGAATTGTTATCTATTGAAATTGGCAATCAAATTCCATTGGCTCTAGCATGGTCAAGTGTTGATTCGTCGCTTTATTTCGCTGCAAAATCATCTCAATCGACACAAGATGCCGATCGTTTGTATGAAGCCAAATGGAAAGACGTCATTGAATATCGTCAACGTAAGCCTAGTGATGGTAGTACAATCTATCGTATTGATATAAGCATAAAAAATCGAAGAGTTTCGAGTAAAATTTATCCTATCAAGCAACTCAATTTCATAGTTGGTGAACTATTGTTTGTGCCATCTGAACATAAAGTGGTGTTTACTTCTGTAGTAGCGATTATTGAAAATTTAGCTGATCTTGAAATGTATTCCATTGATGTGTACAATTCGTCATTATTAACAAGATTGACTAATAATGAAGAAATAGAAAATAATCTACAATTATCAAGTGATGGCAAACATGTATTTTTTCAAGTTTATTCGGTTAGATCAAGTAATGAAAAATTCAATAATACACAACCAGGACTATGCTCAATCGATTTAACAAATGGACAGATTCAAAATTGGGGAAAAGGTTTTGAAGGAACTGTTACAGATTATGCCATTAGATCGGAAGGTGGTGTTTTTATATTGGGACAATTGGGGACCAACGTTCATATATACACGCAACAGTCACCATCGAAATATTTGTTTATGGAACGTAGTTGGAATGGAACTTATCGATCGATCTCTTCATCAAGATCAAAACGATATTCATCAGTTGCTTTTCTTTATTCATCTTTCGAGCGACCTGAAGAAGTTTATTTTGTTGATCATATTGACGATCTTCGTTCGGCAAAAACAATTACTAATGAAAATCAATTGTTGACAAAAATAAATCTACCACGAGCTAAATTGTACAAATGGATAAATGATGATGATAATCGTATGATCGAAGGTATTTTACATTATCCACCGGGAAAATTTGAACGTAAAAATTTGCCTCTTCTCGTTCTCATTCATGGTGGTCCTACTAGTGCCAATTTAAATTTTTTTCAGCCAGATTGGTATAATTGGGCTCCATTAGCTGCTGCAGAAGGTTGGTTAGTACTCGAACCGAATTATCGAGGTTCGACTGGTTATGGCAATCAGTTTCTCAATGAAATTACTTGTCAACCGTTGTCTTTACCGGGAAAAGATATTCTTGCCGGTGTCAATCGTCTTATTAAGGATGGCATTGCTGATCCAACTCGACTTACCATTGGAGGTTATAGTTACGGAGGATTTCTAACCAATTGGTTGATTACACAAACGACACGTTTCAATGCTGCCTTGTCTGGTGCAGGAGGAGTCGAGCATGTTTCTGGTTGGGGTACCTCAGATTTTCCAGCATATATGAATACCATATTTGGTGGACTTCCATGGAAAATACCTAAAGTTTATGCCAAAGAATCCATTATAAATCAGTTAGATAAAGTTCATACACCTACACATATTATCACAGGCACTAGTGATATTCGGGTTCCTGCCGATCAAAGTGTTATGTTAGAACGTGGCTTAAATTATCTCGGGGTGCCAGTCAAATTATTACTTTTTCCAAATGAAGGACACTCGCTCAGTAATAACCCTTGGCATGGAAAAATTAAAATTCGAGAAGAACTCAAATGGTTAGAAAAATATGGTCATATGTCTTTCGTTACAACAACAAACTAGGCTCATATTTCGATCGAATGAACGAAAGGACCGTTTAAGGCAGTATTTATGCCATATTTTACATTTAAATCCATAGAAATCGCACTTGTAGTATTTAGTTTTGCTTTCTTTTTCAAAATAATAAACAACACATCATGACGACATTATTTAGTTGCTACATTGTTTTTCATTTTCAGACCAAACTGTCTGATTTTTGACTGTATGTTCTTGAACTACACCGTTGTTCTGTTGGTTTCGTTTCACTATTGAAATCCTTTGTTTTGTTTGCTTTATAACGAGCAAGTCAGTGTTTGAACTGACCAACAACTCATCCAGTTGACAACTATTATCCAATAATTGAATATAGAAAGACTTATTAGAGATGATCTCAAGGTCGCTTATTTAAAAACTTTTCTTTCTTTTACATCATGATGTTCTCGATAGATCTATATTCACTTCAGACAACTGACGAGGGAACCTTCTCAACTGTCTTCTTCCGATTGCAATGATTTTTTTTTTGCATATAGATACTGCATAATGTTCTAATAAAAATCCTAAAAGGATTTAGGTTCTTATTGAGATTTGACTAAATTATTGAATTTTTATTATGCCCATTTGCTAGAAATTCCATGTTTTCAGAAACCTTGCACTTTCAAATTTTGATCTTAAGCTTTGCGCATATAGAGAGCTTAACTAGATGAGCATCCATAAAAATATTCACAAGTTTCAAAGTAACTCTGTTCAAGATATAGATCCTTTTCAGGGATAAATATATACGACATGCTTTTTTTTGAAAGCTTCATATCTTGAAAAGACTTTGTTTAAAATTTGTGAATTTTTTTATGGAAGCTGATCTAGTTGAATTCTCTCAGTGCACAAAGTTTCTGAGAAAAATTCGATAATTTAGTCAAGTTCCAATAGGAACCAAAACCATTTTAAGATTTTTATTAGTACAAAATGTAGTATCTATAAGCAAAAATGCATCGAAATCGGAAGGGAGCAGCTGAAGAGATCAATTAAGAACGTTATCATGATTTTAATGGCTACTATTCTTGAATTTTAAATAGTTACTCAACGAACTCTTACGGAATTCATTTGAGTTTCTTAGCACAGTTAATCTATGACATGCTTTCATATTTTCAATTTTCGTTCTTCTTTGTTCATTTTCAAACATACAGTAGCAATTTTCGATCAGTATCGAAAAATCGACTTTAACACCTCTGTCGGCATTATCTTCTTCTATATTGTGAGTCATATTATTTTACTATGTCTATCTATCTATAGGATGATGGCACTTCGCAACCAATAGATTGTTTTCTTTTTCAAGGTGTTACTCGACATCATCAATCTATTCGTTTGCAATCAATTTCATTTTATAGTTTTTGTTCTATGGACACCATGAACAAAATGTTATTGGTATGTTATTACTTATTTCATTTTACTCTTCTAAGGTTCGAATATACCAAAGATATTATCTCTTTCATAAAAATAATTTAGAATATAAATAAACTATTATTTTGTCATTTAGATATTAAATTTCAATAGGATGATATTTTTATACGCAAATCATTATTTCATCATTGTTTGAACCATTGCGTCTTGAATCTTCTCCAGTTATTCCAACAATTTTATTATGAGAGGTAAGTGTAAAATCGGGTGTGAGTAATTGCTGAAAAGAATATAAAAAGCCATAATCTTGTGAGAGATTGTTATCAATTATATTGAAAATAACCGATAAAAATAAGTCGTCTTTATTTTTTTTTTAAAAGTCAAAAATAATTCACAATAATCAACATTATTTAAAGAAAAATATATTTATTTTTGAAAATTGTTGCAAAAAAGAGAAAAAGATTTTAAGTTTTTTTATGCATGAACATATTCAAATCGTACAACAAGAACTTGTTGTTTGGTTTTCTTTTTTTTTTCAATTTCTTTTCGTTGTTCGTCCTCATGGCGAGGATCTTTTTGGTTTTGTTTCGATGAACTTAAATTATTATCAATTGGATCAATATGAAAAAAATATTTTAATACATCCATAATAAGAACAAAACCAATAACGGTTGCAATACATCCAATAGCAACACAAGAAAATGAACGTGAAACAATTTCTTTTGTACGTAAACTTGAAGATTTTATTTCGCAATAAGTACCTGAATAAAGGTCAGTATTCGTACATCGACATGACCAATTACCATAGATTGATACGCATTGACCATTATTTTCACACTTTATGTTTGCACATACATTGACTTCATATTCACAATGATCACCTGTTTTACCTGTAGGACATATACATTGACTTTCATTGCATGTACCACCATTGAGACAATTCAAACCACCACGACACACACGTTCATCAACGTCACAATTGACACCAGAATAACCTAAAACGCATGAACATACATAACCAAGTGGTAAACTAACATTTGGATAACATGTTGCCAAGTTCATACATGGTTGAGTCATAGCGCATTTATCTGAAGTGATATTGCATGACATACCAATAGCTCCATTAGAACATATCGGAGCTACAAATATAGAAGTATTTCTTGACGTTAATCTATATAAAAAAAAAAAAATATTTGATTAGAATCAAATTATATAATTGTAAAATTTATCTAGAAGAGTTTTATATTTATCAACATACAATACTCACGCGGCTCCTGTTGATTGTATATTGATTGTAGTCATAGCTTCCGTTGAATCCACGTACAATGTACTTGTTTCCTCAGAAAAAATTGTTGTTGTTATTGTGTCACAATTTTGCGCATTAATGTCTTCATATTCAATAGAATAACTCATAAATGAAGTAGGCAATGGATCTTGTGTGGTATCTCCATGAATTAGAATTACTAATTCGATTAGAATATCTGTGTGTAAAAGAAATTTCCTTTTGTTTAGTTGAAACAATTTTTTTTTTCTTCAATTTTACAATAATTTCAAGTATTTCAAATGATTAAAAATGATGCTAACTTCCAGTTTGAAAATATTAAGACAACTTTTTAAAAGTATTCTTAAATATGTAAGTTGGATTTTTTACAATAAGAACAACTATTTTCTTTTTCATTGCACTTTGCTTGATAAATAAGTCATATATATATAATTACAATTGATTAGTGATCGTCTAAAGAGGGCTGGACGACATCCTCAAAAATCGAGAAATTGTTCCATTTACAGCAGAAACGCTTCTTTAAGAAAGAGAATTAATTCGCTCGCATCAATCACCAACAGACATTCACGAAATTCAACAAGGAGAAATCCTTCAACCATTTCTCCCCTCACAAGAAGATATGGAAAATAGATAGAGGGAAATCAATAGTATTCTTTTTCATTTCTATGCATGATTTCGAGAAGAAATCGAACTCTTTCAATTAGAAATGGTAGATCCATATCAGGAGAAATTGATCAGATTATTCTTACATTATCAGGAGAAATGGATTTTACACAGCAGAAATGAGAAAGCTGCAAGGAGAAATGTGTAAACGATTTCTTTCTTTTTCGGCAGTAGTGAATGATACATAAGGAGAAGTGAAATATACGTAGAACAACGATGAGTCATTGATACATGTATATTTATATATATGTATATCTATATGGTAATTTTTCCATTTCTCCTTGTTCTACGTGACTTTGTGTGGGGTAAAGCATTTCTTCTCAAAGCGGAACGATTTCTCGGTTGATGGGTCATATCTTCTACAATATAATACTTCTTAAAAGATATCGCTGTATAAAATAGCAGAATCTGAAATCTTTATGGCGCATGCTCGTATTGAATGTTGAAATGTTTTATGAGAACAAAATATTTCACATAGACATTCGAAATGTCCTATGCGCGCACTTATCTTCTCATTATAAAGAACAGCTGCATAAGAGTGATAAAATCTCTTGATTCACATAACAAATTATTGTAGTCTCGATTGATTGAAATATTTCAATCATATTTGTTAGTTTCAAAACAAAAAAAAATCTTTTATTCCATAGAATGAATTCAAACACTTACAGAAAGCAGTAGTCGTTGCCATCACAATAATACAATTGTAAATGTGAAATATATTTTATTTGATTTTAATATGTACTTAAATATATATTATATATTTTCGTGCATATTCATTAAATTAATTATATATTTCCGAAATCAAATATCAATAAAGAACTCGACCGAGATGTTTTATTTTCTGTTTATTCAAAAACTATTTTTTTTTTTCTTTGGTTCAAAAATAGATCAAATACAGTCTGATTATTAGATCAAAATAATAAAAAAAATATTACACACATTTGGAATCGTTCTTCAATTGTTTTCTCATTCTTTTTTGCTCTACTTGGAAAAAATCCATTTACTCAATATCATCGAAATACAACAAAAAATAAATAAATAATATCACATGCATAATGTTTTAAATTATTTATATAAACAGGCCAGCAGGAAGAATAATGATTATGATATTTTTCAGAATAAACAATCTGTCGTTAAATGAGCATAAACGGGTTTCATTCATCTAAATAAACAAAGATATAGCATAATGATTATCAGCTTACAGTATGCATAGAACAAGCAAAAATTGCAGCAATGCATGAAGGCCAAACAGTTAATCATTATATATCTATATATACTATCACCTATTCATTTAATGTATTATCAAAGCGAGAGCTTTCATTCAAATTTGTTCATTCATTTATCTATCATATATAAATAAATTAAAAAAACAACAATGTAATAAAAAATGAGTGTTAGAAAACAAAACGAAGGTTTAAAAAAAATACAAAGCTAGTCAGTCATGTTTCTGCAGATTCAGTTATGAGTTATTTAATATAAATATCACGTGCATAGTTTATCTCACCCTCGTAATACTATAGTTGACATGGATCTTCCACGAGATCATCATCTACATACACATAATAGTTAAAAGTATGAAACAATATTGAAGAGGATTATAGTAATGAAATAAAAACAAGAAAAAGAAGAAGAAAAAAAAAACAGAATTAACAACAAAGAGATTATTGCGTTGAATATGGGACAGTAAAGTATTCGAATAGAACATACAATTTGATTAATTAAGCACTTGCAAAGAAATTACATCAAAATACATTCATAATCGACTTAAGATCAATTATAAGGAGAGAAACCATAGACATAGATGTGTTAAGTGATCATCATTAGCAGTCAAAACAAAATCATTCAATTTTAGAAATAATACTATCGTCACCGTTCACAAGCACTAATAAATTAAACAATATTGTGCGTACTTTTTCGATTATCTAATGTTGTACTCGATGATCCACTTCCATGTGTTGTTGCTGTTGTTGGTAATATTGCTGGTGTTTTTCGAGTAAATGTTACCCAAGAATAAACAATGCTACCAATAACACTAGAAGAAAAATAATAGTTTATCTTATGTACATACATCTATCTTTTTTTTTTGTTCGGAACTATGCTTTTCTTTTTAACATTATATTCTATTCTAATAATAGCAGAACAATGGATCGTTTTCTTTTTGTTTCACAATGTATGTCTCGAATGAAATCATTTCAAGGTCTTCAACATTTATTCTTTTGAAATAAAAGTTCATTTTTTACTAATCATGGCTTCAGTTATTCACATTAAAAAATAAAAGCTTGTTGCTTTAATTTTTGCATATAGAAATGTCGAACGATAAAAACTTAATTAATATGGACTCATAAATGAAACTAATGTTTGTTTCAAATGAAATTTTTACCTGATATTAAGACCAAGAAAATTCACATGTGAATATATATAATCACCGCCAATAATCATTCCTAAATATGTTACAAACATATTCTAAAATTTAAAAAAAATAAAAATTATTAAATAGATATAATAAAAGGAAATATATATGCATATATATATATATATATAAAACTAACTTTACAAGCACCAACAACTGTTGTTGTTAAAGGAGAATTATAATGAGTACAAAGCATTGTTGAATAATTAAGTAAAAATCCCATTAATGATGATAGAAGAAAAGATAATATAAAACCAACATCTCTATAACGATTATAATTCCAAACCTTAAATATATATATATATATATTTCAATAAAATATTTTAGATTATCAATTAAAAGTTATCTACTTTTTTAAGATCATCAGTAAAACCAGCTAAAACAATTGCTGGTCCAAGTACAATAAATGAATTATAGAATAAGAGAGCATATTGATTGAATTCCTAAAAACAAAAACAAAATATTATTAGTAAAATACAAAAAAAAAATTAAATTTTATCATTTACTTTATTAACTAATTTTTGTTTGACTACAATACCTTGTGCTGCTGTACATATATTATTCCCTATAAGAAAAATATATCCAAACCAATTGAAAGATAAATCATCACTAGCAGCAATCATAGCACCAATTAACATCAAATAAACACTTGCTTGTGCAAGTAGAGATTGTGCTTGTCTAATTAAAAGAAAATGTATACAAACAAATAAATATCTATATGTATATACCGAAGTATTAACTGTTCACCAATCATCGTTAACCAAATTGAAAAACGACGTAAAACAGTAAACATTGGTAAACTATTTATTCATTATAAGGAAAGAAATTTTATCAAATTACGAAAAAGAAAAATAAATTACCTAACTGCTTGAGTACCAGCAAGACCAAAGAGTAAATTACCAAAGAATAACAATGGTAATGGCATAATCTATTTATTATATAAGAAACAAGAAAACTGTTTTTCAAAAAAAGAGAAAAAGAAATAAATTACGAACTTTATTAACAACATTTTCAGAGAAATGAGGAAAACGAATAATACCAAAGGATCGTGCCAGATAAAGTACAATAATCGAAACAGTTAACTATACAAACAAGAAAAAGGAAAATAAACAAAAAAAATATAATTAATCAATTAATTGTGTTTTAGTAGAATAGTTATGTGTTAAAAATATAGTTAATAAAAGTAGACAGTCGGCATGCATTTAGAAAACAAGAATATCCTTTATTCATGACTATCACCTACCTGTCCAATGGCAAGAAGTTGAAATGAGGGAAACCTGTTATGTAATAGGGGGACGATAAACTGCTAAGACAACAATGTCAAAAAAAAAAAGTACGTACTCATAAGACGTAAGAACAAGTTTGTTAACAATGGTAATTAAACCTGAACAAGCTCCATAAAATAAAGCCGAACCTACTCGTCGAACAAATGAAATCGTTGGTGGACAAGGACAACCAAGACATGTCTTGTGCGTCATCGTTAATCCAGCTGAAAAAACAATTAAATGCCTTGCTGCTAATAACAGACCAGATGTGACTATTCGTAGTTGTCAAAAGAATGTCATTTATTGGATAATGCCATATAACGTATCATGAATCGGTAAGATCGAGACATCTATTGGCAAGAAGAATTTTTTAAAAACAAAAATTACATATGTTATATGATTATTATTTATTATATTAGAGAAATTTGAGTGAACATTTGCAAATATATACGAAATTCTCCAGAATAAATAAGTCATTTGTTGGCTAATTCAAGCAAAAGAAATTTTCGTTAAGTAGGTAGTCAAGTGCTGATAAATTTTATTCCTATAACAAAGATCAAGTTGATATCTGAAACCAAGCATAATAAGTAAAACAGGAATCATTTACAAAAGAAAACTTTTAACTGATCAAAAGCGTATAGTTTATTTAATAAACATTTAACTCTTTCAATACAAGAGTACTAAAGCTTGAAAGATTTTTTGTAAGTCTCTCAACTGACATATCGAAAGGAAATTTTGATTAATCTATGAAGGTTAATATAATGCCATTGATTAATATTGACTATACGAATAGACGATAAATTCTTTTGATTAAATTCATGAATGGTAGGATTTTAAAGGTATTATGGGATCTATAATGAAAAGCAAAATGGATGCAATTTTTAATATGTCATCATTAAATAAGATGATATTCTCTGTATTTTATTAGAGAAAAATGTTCTAACGAGAAACTATGAATAATAAAATAGAAGAGTTATACAAGATATAAAACTTTGTATCCATATTCGAATGTAACAAAAAAAAAGCTTTTCGTATTCGTCTGATTCATGTACATACTATTACTAGGATAAAGGCTATAAATTAGTAGAAATAATAGCAAAAGCTGATTCTAACGAGCTCAAAAGTAATTAAATAAAAATTCATCGAATTGTCTGTATTAGTTTCAAACTTCGACTTCATAACTTTTCCAGGTAATCTTTAAGAACAAACTAGTTTTGATGCGTAGTTCGCGTATAATTGTATATTCTTCTAGGCGAAATCTAAGCCCGGTCTATGTTCAAATCTATACTGTGCATTTGATGAAATACTAGTTAAAACTGAGCAGGCTTTATTTTTTCAATGTCTAATGGAGAAAATATTTTATCCTCAGAGATACCTTATTTATATACGTACTTTTTTTTTCTCATATAAAAATCTCATGCTGACATAATAATATGGTTATCTTTGTTCGTCAAAATTTGACACACCTTGTTTTTACATATATTATTTCATCTGAATAAATGAAAATACCAAATTGAGGTATTATTGATTGACTGTTTTTCTCGATCGTATTCATTGGAATTGAATGTAGTTCTTTTTTATTTTATTAATAATATTCCTATTGGACTTTATACCGTCTTTCTATATTAATAGAAAGATAGATAAAATAAAGTTGATTATTGTGAGATTTTTTTTATTGAAGTAATATCATCTTACTTGATGATAATACATATTTGGAATTATTTTCATAATTGAAATATTTCAAATTGAAAATAAACATTTTTTTTATATTTCTTTTCTTCCCACAATACATAATCTTTTATATGAGGAATCTCATTTATCATCCTAATCATATAAGCTTTTTCACAATAAATAATAGGATAATATTCCCTCTTCTCTCCCTTCTAGAGTAATACAAGAAATCTAATTTCTCGTTCAAATCTATATGTGATTTGCTTTTTTTTTAACTTAATACATTTTTGCTTGCAATCAATTTTACCCGTCGATAAAAATTCAGTAAAGTCACCATGTGTTCACATCAGTTGCATCACAAAACATAGTTTGAGTGAAACTGAGATATGCTAAACTCTATTGTCGGTTATTTTAGTCGAACTGTAGAAATAACTTAAGAGTACAGTTTGGAAAAGAGTTCGTTTGAAGAAAAAAAATAAAAGAACGACAATTAAGCGTTTGTCAATATTTGAGGGATTGTTGAATAAGGTATTTTTTTCAGGCACTGAGATCTGTTTGCATTCTGCTTTCATATTTAGGTAAGACTCAAGACTATTTACGATTGAATTACGAAATATTATGCTCATAAATTTATTTCTTGAAATTTATACAGCTGAAGTATTGATTTCGACAAAATGGAGAGCAACTATAGTCAATCCTGGTTGAACTAATGTATCGAAAATGTATTTTTACCTTGATAATGGACCAAATCATAAATAATATATGAGCAAAATAGAACACTATATCAAATGAATTCTTAAACATCATTAACTAAACAGGTCTTGACATTATAAAAAAAATCGAAGTTGTACTAGGAATCAATTACTAACTCAGACGAACTCATTTTACATTCAAAACCTAATAAAGTTTCAAAAATTCTCTATGAAAGATGATCGTTTATGAAGGAAAATATAGACGCTCTGCACATAAAACAACAGGTATTTATATCACATGTTAATCAAAGAATGGAATTCCTCAAGAGGCAACATAATATAGTTGGAAACAGAGCTCGGACTAGATATGTGCGACATAGTTCCGGTTCCGGGATCAGGATCAATTTTTTTGTGACCGAAAGCAATTCTTTTTTGTTCAGGATCGACATCAAAGTTTTTTTCATTGGGATAAGATCCAATTGGTTATTTTGAACCTGGACTCTGACCGGGACCAAAAATGATTGATCCCACTCATGTCTAGGTCGAACAAAAGTATTTGTACTTATACTTAAGTACGAAAAACAAGACTTTGTACTGTTGACCTGAGGTATAAAAAAAAAACAAATTTTGTCAATAAAATTGACTAGATCGGTATAGATTTTTAAAGACCATCGTAATATCTTCTGATGAACAAAACATGACAATAAAAAATATTTCAATACAAAATATTTACCCTGATGCATTGATAACTACGTGAAATGTTTTCAGATATTCACCATAATTTTAAAGAATTTCGAACGATAAAGACAGAGTTACAGTAAAGTTATTAACGTATCAGAATAAAAATATTTTTATTGTCATGGTTTCATTCATTACAAAATATTACAGTAGTATTCAAACACTTATACACATCTTGTCAACATTAATGACGATATTTATTTTATCTATACATCAAATCAGCAGTACAAAGTTCTATTTTTCGTACTTAAATATAACTGGAAATATAATACTTCTACTTGTGGTACTTGTATTTGTCTTATCTCTGATTAATAAAATACATGATCAAGGAACTAGTGATAGAATAAGGAACATACTTGAATAAAAACACGAGAAAAAAAAGATAGACAATAAGAAAATAGCCAAAGATATGTTACAACGAACACATTACCTTGACAGAAAGAAGAGCGAAATAAATAAGTGTAGTGTGTAAAAATGCATTTTTTCATGGTAGTAATGATTTGATTTCAAATAACATCAACAACAAATTTTATACCAAATTATGGCCCGTTAAAAATACGATGCATAAATACTTAGTAAGCGTTAGAATAACTATTTCAGTATCGTATTCACAAAATTCCTAAAATTTTACATCATATCAACAGAGAAAAGTTTCTTTCGTGAGGCAGTTCAAACTAGATCATATTTAAAATGATGAATATCAAAAAAGTAATATTTATCTCTTGAGACTTAATGAACATAATCAATAATAAGTATGACGACCATTATCGTCTCTACAAAATGGAAATAAGACGAATACAAAGATAAAATAAGTCAATATTTGTTTCTACATTTGTCAAAACATATGAAATATGTTTTTTTTTAGTTTCTTCATCAAAATCATTGTGTTCCCATTTCATTTTTGAGTCTTTTCCCAATATTTCTAGGTCAAGTATTCAGTACTTTTTGATATTCATCATTTTAAATGATGATCTAGTTTGAACTGCTTTGTGAAAAAAATTTTTCTCAGTTAATATGACGTAAAACTTTAGGAATTTCCTGAATTCAACACTAAAATGTTTTATTAACACTTACTTTTTAGTAATTGTGAATTCCACTTTCGACGTGCTTTAATTTTTTTATTGATATTATTTCAAATTGTAACGTTACTCTCACTGTGAAAAAATCTTTTTACACACTCAGTACATTTGACACCGTTATCTGTATGTAAGAAACAAAAGAAAATGAGTGCATATATGTATAATGCTTATAATAATTTTCTTTTGCAATGCACCTCAGATAAAGATTATAACAAGGCGTATTAAAAAAAAATTTATATTATCATAGAAAATGTTTTTAAAAATCATCAATGACATTTAATTACGTCTAACAGTATGTTATTTTTGATTGGTAATTTTTCATTATTAATTATCAACTTGAAGTATCTATATTGAGTTTTTTTCTTGTCGAAGAATGATACATTTTCTTTTTATTTTTCTATCATTTTCTGATGTCAAAACATATTATTTATCAACAGCATGACAAAAACATTGATTTACCATAATAAAAAGTTTGTTATGTCAAGAATGATTTCAAAGTCATGTCTTGCTTTTGTATAATGAATAATATCATCGAAATATCCTTATGCAGAAAAATTACAATACAATATGTTCTTCAAAATGATTATAAATTAATCTCACTAACTCATTGAGTAAGAAAGTTATTAGTCTACAAATGTCTATCATATTCCTAAAAGAAGATTAATTGTTAATATTTTAATCGAAAAAAAGAAAAATGAAATAGTCATAGAACTGTGATTGAAACTAATCAATTCATAAGATGAAATTACTTTGGCATTATTTTATGATTAATTGAAGATCTAATATGTAAAATTGATATATATCCATGATTTAGATTAATATTGTCTTCGAAAGAAAAGAATCCTATCTAGAAAATAATTAGCATTGTCAATATATTATATTCTTATGAAAATTCTTTTCTTTTGCATCGATGATCATGAAGACTGAAAATAAATCGAGTATTAAAAAGAAAATTAACGAAAGAATGACTAAAATGTACTCTACGAAAAATTGTTAGAACTCAGTAAATAAAAAACTGAACACATTTGTGAAAGATCAAAATAAAAAAAAAATCGATTTTTTTCCTTACAACTTTAACTATACAAATAGAATTCATTTCTTTCAAAGACAGTTTTAATCTACGTCATCTCTCGTATGTATTTAACATTCAATTGATTATGAAGTAACTCCAAATTACTTTGATAATGTGAATCGATTAATATGCGTCGCAATTAGATGACTATTTCATTTTTTGATGGTTAAAATATTATCGATTAATCAGATTTAAGCAATATGATAGACATTTCTAGATTAATAGCTTGCTAAATGAACTAGAAGAATTAGTTAATATTTATTTTCAAGAACATGTTTTACTGTACTTTTTCTCTATAAAGAAAGCTCGAAGAGAATTTTTATTATAACAAAATGCATCACAAATTGACGAGCTTTTTTTATACAGCAAAAAACGATAAGTTTTTTTATTCTTGATGACAAATCCGATGTTGATTAATTTGACATATAAAAGTCAACATATTTTCTCTGACAATACGAAAGAAACATTCGTTTGATATGGTAAGTAGAATATATAAAAGAAAATCTATATTTATCATTATAATGGTTTAAACTATTCACTAAATAAACAGAGATGAACTTCAATTTTTAAAATGAATTTCATTTCTATATAATTTCGTACAAATTCGACAAGTACATGTAAAAACTTACTCGAACATGAAAAATCGAGGATGTGGTTTTTATCGATTTCTGATTTTTTGTTTACTTTAACACAAAATACTTCACTCATAAAATATCTACAACATCATTGATGACTAATGCGTAGCTAATCATTCGTAGGTGTAAAAATTAATAAATAACATGACAGAAAAATCATTTTATTAGACGTGCGACCTCTGTCTCCTTCTAGTCTGATTATTTTTTTTTCTTTAAAATGAATAAGTGGAGTGAGTGAGTGAATGAAAGTGAATATAATGATTCATTCTTTTTTTTTTTCTCTTTCCTTTCTTTCCTTTGTTTGTTTCATTTCATCGGCATCATTTTTTCATTCTGTCGTGTCCTGATATTATATATGGTTTTGTTTTCTAGATGCTACCATGATACTAACAGTCTATTTTAAATTATTTAAGAGAATCTAAATAAAAAAGAAAAATAATAAGACCTATCTCTTTCCAAAAAATGCAAGCACTCAAATGTGTTGTAGTTGGCGATGGGTAAATAATTTTTATTAGATTTTAGAAATAGAAAAAAGTTAATTTTTTAAATTTTATTCATGTTGTTTTTTTTTTTTAGTGCCGTTGGTAAAACGTGTTTATTAATCTCTTATACAACGAATACATTTCCTGGTGAATATATACCAACAGTGTTTGATAATTATTCAGCAAATGTTATGGTCGATGGAAAACCAATTAATCTTGGCTTGTGGGATACAGTAAGAAGATTAATTTTTAAATAGAATTCCTAATTGAATTATAATTTTTTTTTTGTAGGCCGGTCAAGAAGGTATGAAGAAAAGAAAAGTTTCGTTTCTATTAAGGTTTTGTTTTTTTAAGATTATGATCGTCTACGTCCATTGTCCTATCCACAAACGGTAAGAAGAATTTTCAAAAGGAAATTAAAAAAAATTTTTTTTTTTTTTTTGCGATTTTTTTTCTAGGATGTTTTTCTTATTTGTTTTTCTCTTGTTAGTCCTGCTTCATTTGAAAATGTTCGGGCTAAAGTAAAATATTTACATACGTTTTTTTTGAACTTATTTTATATTTTATTTAATAAATTAAGTGGTATCCTGAAGTTAGTCATCATTGTCCTCAAACACCAATTGTTCTAGTCGGTACAAAACTTGATTTACGTGATGATAAAATTGCAATTGAAAAACTTCGAGTAAATTTGAAAATATTCTATTATTTTCTTTACCTTGTTTTTATATTGTTTATATTTTTTAGGAAAAAAAATTAGCACCAATAACAACTCTTCAAGGTGAAGCAATGCGTAAAGAAATAGGTGCTGTTAAATATTTAGAATGTTCTGCTTTAACACAAAAAGGTCTCAAGACAGTGTTTGATGAAGCAATACGTGCTCATCTATGTCCGAAACCAAAACCTAAAAAGAAAGGATGTATTCTTTTCTGAATATGTGAATGTCTTCTTTCGTTTTTTTTTCTTTTTTGCATGATATCTCTTTTTCTTCATGTTCCTATTCGTTTGTAAGATATATTTGATATATATATATATATAAATATACATACATTTATCTGTCGTTTAAAGCGAAAAATGATTTTTTTTCAGATTGTTCTGTCAAAGAGGATAATAAGATGACCGGTGGTGGAGATATGAAGACGAATGTACGTTTGTCAGAAATGAAATTACAAGAGGTGAGAATAATTTTAATAAGTAGACTCTGATGAAAATGGAAGATAAAGATAAAACTTTAAAATTGTACAAAATTCAAAAATAAAATGTATTCATTTTAAACTGTTTGAGATGGATGTTTCGAAGTTGATGACTATTACATAATGAATCAAATCAAAGGCAGCACGTAAGAGTTGTATAAAAAAAATATCTCATCGATATAGTAGAAAATTTTAGCGATTTTACTCGGTAATAACGAATAATTTTCAATTGTTATGAAAGAATAAGGGCACTTTTGCTTCGAGTAGAGGCTTTTAGGTCCAGATCCAGATCTGCTACCAAATATTTCGAACGAAACGAATTCTAGTTTCGAGATATCTTACTTTACTGATGTAGACTTACTCTATGTCTATCTGTCAATGAATCTCGTTTCTATATGATCAAAAACACTGAAATAGTATTGTTACATATAATTTTAATTGTTCACAAACTTGATTTTTCTTGTTTAATAAAATTCTTTAATGAACATAATTTTTTTAAATCGATACCTAATTAATTTTGTTTTTTTGTTTTTCTTCGAACATATTGAAACTAGCAAATGATAGTCCAATATCGACAAACATGAGCAAGTGCATCAAAAAGAAAAGGTCACATACATTGAGCAAAACTCATTACTTAAAGGTCAAATTTTTCTAAATATCTTGATCGTGACATTATTAAAAGAGCGATTCTTTCTAATGTTCTATTTAGCTAAATTCATATTATCCTTTAATTCTTTTTATTTTTAATAGGAAAAACATCGTTTGGCATTATTAAAAGAATCCTTAACACGTTCGAATACATTAACAAGTGGTATGGTATCAACATTAGATAATTTTGAACGAAAACTTGAATCATTAGATGAATTAGTTACACCTGTATATGAAGCAACAAATGAATTAAGTTTTCTATTAAATAATGTTGATCAAAGTTTATCATTAGTTGATTCTATTCTACATTATTATGAAATATGTAGTGAATTACAACCAACAGTATCCTCAGGTCCAGGTGGAAATTTAACTGAATATTTATCTGAATTAGATCGTCTTGAAGATGCTGTAAAATATTTTAAACGTACAACATCTGTTAGTGAACGTGAACGTGTTATACAATTATTTGATCTTGGAAGAAAACGACTTGTTGAAGAAACTGATAAACTTATTTTACGATATGCTAATCCATTATCAGCAAAAGAATTAACTGAATTATGTGAAATGTCAGAAACAAATCGAAATGATATTCATGCAATGCAAGGTGAGAAAATAATGAAAAAAAAAATTGATGATTTAATTTAAACAAAAAAAAAATTTTTTAGAAGTTGATATGGGTACATTAAGAAGAATAATTGAATGGTTTAATTCTCATGGTTTTCGACAAGGTCTTATTGATTCATATGCAACGAAAAGAGGCACAATGATTCGACGTTCTATTCAACTGTAATTAATAAAAATTTCAAGATATTTTATTTATTTAAGTTTTTTTTCTTTGTTTAGTCTTGCAGAACATTTAGGAAAATCATCATCTGTTCGACGTGGATCGACTAATGTAATTCAATCGAATGCAAATTTATCACAAAGTAATATATCTGGTACAGATACATTAAAACGATCAGGAAAAACATTTAGGTAAATAAGTTTTTTTTTTGTATTTTATTTGTTTTTATATTAGGCAAGATTTATTATCGTAAGCAAATAGATTATTCTTGTTTCTTAATTTTCTTATGTATATGTACATGGTTAGTTTAGTTTTTTTGTTTTGTTTTTTTGGTTGGAAAAGAAAGCAACGTAAATGACATAGACTCTTTTATTATTTGTTTTATTCATGCGAAGAAAATTAGAGAGTTGAGTAAGTAAAGGAAATTCTGTGGTTAATTAAAATAGATGAATAAATTTTTTTTTTCAGTGTTAAGTGATGATGTGACATGGAATGATTAAGAATGTGTAAAGAGTGTCTGTGAAAATGAGTTTTTTGTTTTGTATTCTGTGTTGATTCAAAACAAGACATTCAACTTTTTAATGCTTAATAACAATCATTTTGAAAATAACAAAAAATAACTTTTGTTTTGTTCGACACAAAAAACTTCTTTTGATATATAATCACTTTATCCATTATCTGATCAAATTTAGTGATGTGAGCCGTCGTTTAATGCGATCATCGGGTACTGGTGCATCGCCTCGTGTAAATTCTCTTGCATCAGTAGTATCAATAGTAATGGAAGATAATGCTATTTTTGATTCAAGTGATCATCGTGATACAAACAATTATAAATTATTACTTGATGCTTTTATTATTCTTTTACAACGTGATCGTGATTTACTTAATTATGTTTTTCCTCATGACTTACAATCACTTGTTTTTACAAAATTAATTGAATTACCATTAGTACATATGCGTGAAGAAGCACAACGTTTATGTGAATCAATTGGAAGATTAACACATAAGTTAGATTCTGGTAAATTTGCAATTTATGGTATTTTTGAAATTTTAAGATGGTTTCTTAAATCAAGACCAACATTTTCTAAACTTTATCAAGTAATTTAATCAATAAAAATAATCTTCAATAATTATTTTTTGTTGTATTTAAGCAAAGTGATGTTGCTCGTAGACAACAATTTACTACACTTTCAGCAACATTTGAACAATCAGTAATAATTAAAATAAATTATTTATATTTTGCAGTATTTGCTTCTTGTTTTTTTTTTTACTTTAATTTTAGGCAGTTACTAATCTTCGAGAAATTTTAGAAGAAGTGACTACCGATGCATCATCACCAAGTCAAGGTGGTAATGTACATCCATTAACATCACATGTATTAGCATTCATGGAAGGTTTATTAACTTATGAAGATACTGCAACAATAATTGCTTCGATTTATGTTGAACAAGAACAACGTATGAATATGAAAAATATTTATTTTTAAAAAATAAAAGTTTATGTTGTAATTTATCAGGATCAGGTAGTGGTGGTTCATCAGGAGCAGAAAAAGGTCTTTATGACTTGGGAAGTTATTTTGGTGTGTTTTCGAAAACGATAGATCAATGTCAAAATATATTATTTTTTATTTAGCTCGATTAATTCGATCACTTCATACTAATCTATCAAAGAAGATTGATGGTTATGTGTCACGTACAGATACAACAATACGATCAATATTCCTTCTTAATAATATTAATTATCTTCTTAGACGTCTTGAAAAGTATTTGATATTTATGAATGAGATTTAAATATTCTTCTAAATTTAATTTAGTTCACCTCTTCTTGCTATAATTCAACGATATCAACCAAATATTTTATCAAAATATGAAGCTGATCTTCAAACGAGTTTAAGTGATTACACAAAATGGTACTTTATGTTTTATTTAATAAGTTAGATTTCATTTTAAATATCTGAAAATGACAATTTGATAATAAGTAAAATAGAATTTCTGAATATTTGCATTATTTTTACATTGCATGTGTATTTGATAGATGAAAATTGCCTTCTTTTACAGATCTTTCAGTAGTACGTGTTATTAGTAAAGACAAATAGTTTTTTTCTTCACTTATGAAGGAATTGTTTGAACGTGGTTCAAAGTTTTTGAGTTCATATATGCTAACCATCAATGGAAAACCTATAGACGAGAAAAGTCCTAGAAGAAAATGAGCAATCATTGAAAGTTTCTCAAAGTTTCAACCACAATGAACGCATCGTCTTCAAGATATTTAAATTTTAAAGAAACGTCTATTTTAAGCTGTGATTCAAACAAAATATATTTTCATAACAAGCTGATATTTCGATAAAGATACGTTTGTAGGAAGGTCAACTTTGAAGAGTTTCAATTGACTATGCAATTGCTCTAAGGACATGATTTCATCTTGAGACTCTATCAACTGAATTTGCAGCGTCCCTATATCCATGGTAGAGAAATCAAGGAAAATGCCCATAACTGGATAAGCGAAAAACAGGCAACTAAACCAAAGCAGACTGTGCTACTACACATCATGACTGATCGAATGGTATTAGTCTCAAATGAAGAACGCTCAAAATTAACATCTCAACTAAAATTCGAAGCTTTTTCTGATTAGCATATGTCCTATTTATAGACAATACAAGGAATTAAGAGCTTTGAGTCACTCGAAGCGATTTCTTCGTTAGTAGAACTGACTTTCAATGTCAATAAGTTCAAGATTTGTTGCTATACTAGAAGTCAACAAATAGTTGACTTCTAATATACATGAATATTTCGTCGAACTGTATCTCTCTGATGCAATAAGAAAAAAACAACTTTTTTCTTTCTACAAATTTATTCTAAAATCTCATTCTGTCAAACAATTCGATATCATCTAATAGACAAAGCACATATATCATTTACATCATTGTAATTTTAAAATCTCAAATACAAATATTAATATTTGATCTTTTCACATTCGTCGAACATTCAAAGATGTCTCGAGCACTCACAATCTTGATGACTTCGATATGGCACTCCTGCGAACATCTCTCTCTTCACTGAAAGGAAATATTTCATTGTTTTCTTTTATAGTTACAATCCCGTGATTATGCCAATCCAACAAATGTTTGAATATGATAATAATAATCGTTTACCTGATACAAAAGTTAGTTTTTCATTAAAAATGTCTTTATTTTTAATGTTTTCTACATAATTTAGTTACGTGATCGTGATCGTGAACAATTAAAAGAAAGTTTTTCATCTGTAAATACAGCTATTGATACAATTCGACAACAATTTGAACAATATATTGTTAGTGATGTTGCTTTACGTAAACGTTTACGTGATGAAGGAAAAAAATTAATTCTTGAACTATTTAAAAAATACTATGATAAATTTTCACGTAAAGATTTTACAAAAAATCGAGAAAAATATATTCGATATGATCCTGGAACACTTGAAAAAATGATTGATAATTTTTTTGAAAATCGTACATAAATTTTTAATTTTTAATTTTTTTAGTTGCTAAAGTAATTTTTTTAAAATGAAATCAAATTTTTTTTACAATAATAAAATTAATGAAAGAAAACTTTTAAAGTTATTCATTACAATGCATAAAAAAAAATAGTCGAACCATCTATTGTGGAATTATAATCATTAAGGCATTTTTGAAAGTCTGAATTTTTTATACAATTTTAACTAATGAGTATTCCGCAAATAATTATTGCTTATTCCGTGTTGATTATCTAAAATAACAAAATTTCATTATCAAAGTTATTAGAATTTGAGAAATTTATCCTGTATTCGATTGCTGCCTTTATTAAATCTATTATTAAGAATGCTTTGAACCATCGATATTGTACATTAATAAAAAAAAGTACTTTTTCATTTCGATTACATGAAATTCGATTATCAATCAATCTTTTCTTACATGAATATTTTAATAGTCATACTATATTTTTCAACTTCAATTATATTTAGCACTTCGATATTTAAATTTATGATTTCTTAGATTTGATCAAATAATTCAGAAATTAATGTTAACAAATCAATTAAATATTTCATTAATAGCCTTACGAGAGTAGATGCAATACAAATAAAAATTCTTAATTATATACGAAGATGATAGCAATTAATAATCAATATAGATATTCTTCTGAATCTAATCTGAATAGAATATCTGTCATGTGATATTAGTTTTAATCAGAGATAAGCAACTATAAATTTTCTAAATTTGTAATGACTACAATGTCAGCGGCTAATTAGAATAAAAAAGAAGTAGAGTAGTCCTAGTTTTTGAAGTTCTGTTGGTATCGAAATATTTGTTGGACAATAAGCAAAAGACTTTTTGTTGCATACCTACTTGGAGCAAGCCATATAAGGTATGCACTGTACTTTTATTGATTAAATTAACAATCATTGCGTTCTCGTTTTTGCATAGCAAAATATGTTGAAAAGATATTTCTACTCTACGTCTTTCTACGATAGCTTTTAACAAAGATTTTATGGTGAAAAATATTCCGGACAAATTATAAAATAAAATTAAAGTAATCATTCAAATTTTCTATGAATATTGAGCATTTTTGCAATCGAATCGTTCGTTATTATTAATGATTGGAATTTAATAAAGAGAAATCTTAACAGTATTAATCTAGATTGTCATCTTTTGTTTTTGAATTTAGCATTAAAACAAAACAAAAAAAAAAAAAAAAGAATAATTCATAAAAAATAACTATATATTATAATACAAGGTTGTCCTAAATAAACACACCGAATGCATACAAAAAATCAATATGGTTTGTTTTTTTCATCAACGAAATATTATTTACATAACACGAATATATGAAACAACAATAGAAGAAAAGAGAAGCCGTTTTGTTTTATCATTTGATTAAGAAATTTCATTCATGGCATCTGTATTGTCTACACCATCTAATGTTCCACTCCTTGTTCAATCACTTCAAACAACTATAACTACTGAACGATCTCATTCAAAACGTTTTTATACATTTATTCATTATGAACATTCCACACATCTACGTCGTTTTATTATCTTATTTTTTATTATTACCTTTGTTTCTCTTTCATTTGCTTGGCTCATAGCTGGACTTGTTCGTCTTCGTCAAACAGCATCTTATTTAGAATCATGTGCAGCTAAAAAAGTTCAATGTGCTGCAGGAACTGATTTAGTATGTAGTTTATCTTCATCAATATGTCTGTGTCCGGAACAAACTTTTTGGGATAATAAAAAACAAAAATGTCTTACAGTGAAAACAATTAATACAGCTTGTTCAAAAAATGAACAATGCGATACAACTAAAGGTCTCATTTGTCATACAAATGGTACATGTCAATGTTCTCAAAATACATATTATACAAGCACAGGATGTGTGAGTAAGTAATGAAAAACAAAACAAAGAATCATAGAATTATGAAATATAATGATTTTAGCTTATTTATTATTTGGTGTTTCATGTCTATCATCAGGTACTCCATTATGTAATACACAACTTGGTCTTACATGTGATACAGCTACACAAACATGTATATGCTCTTCATCAACATATTGGTCGTATGCTCGATGTGAACCACTTTCAACATATTCTAGTTATTGTGATCAAAATATAAGTTGTAATACTCAAGCTGGCCTTTTTTGTCGTTTACCTGGTTCAAACTTATCCTGTGATTGTCCTCTTCCATCAAAACTTTATACATGTGATTGTTATGAAGGAAAAACATGGATTACAGCAACAAGTATCAATGGAACATCAGCATGTATGGATCAAGTGTCATATAATAATAATTGCACATATGATAGTCAATGTCCACCAACATTAAATCTTGCTTGTATTGGTTAGTAAGAAAAGAAAACATATTTGAAGAATATTAATCATTTTATTTCTAGGCGGTATTTGTGATTGTAATTTACCTTATTGGTATTGGTCATGGACTTCAAATAAATGTCTTCCTTGTGAATCTCTAGGGTATACACTGATTCAATATTCATCTCAACGGGTTTGTACACAATTAATTAGTTCATCATTAATGACATATACGGCTAGCAAATCCGCGTGTACTACATTAGGTTGGTCTTTGATTAGTCCAATGTTTGCATCGGATATTTCAGTTATTGCTACAGCTTATCCAACATATCGTCTTTGGGTTAATATGGAAACTTCACTTGGTAATTCAGTCTATGCAAATAATATTTTTCCCAATAATCAATCGAATTGGAATACTTCTGTGTCAAGAGCTTTAACAGCTGTCTATTCTACGTATATATATGCTTTACAAATCATACCTTCATATAATAAAACAACGCTTTTCGAAGGAGATACTAATTTGGATAGGGGACATGCACTTTGTGCGATTTATTAATAATATATAAATTGTTCTTTTAACTGACGTGTATGCTATGAAAAGAAAAGAAAAGACATTGTATACCTTTTCATTTAAAAATATATTTTAGTTTTTTTGCATAAAGAAATCTTTTCAAATATGCATTTTTAATAGTGACAGTAATTCAAATGATCGACTTATATTTCTATACAATGTCATAGACATTAACGATTTATTTGATATTTTAGCTGTGGACGATAATAAAAAGAACTGATGATAATGAACTTTTTTTTTCCTATAAGTACTTCAGAAAGCTTATGCTCAAACTGCACTAATCAACATAGAAAATATCTATCTACTATATTTATAATTTATTTGATAGTATCATCACAATAATGATTATATCCACTAACAAGAATAGACTATAAACGCGAAACCATACAATAAGAAATAATTCTACGATGTACAAAGATACGTGAACAGGTACCCAAGCAGACAAACTTTTGAGAAAACGCGTTTAAACGCACAAAAAGGACGAAAAATGGACGTTTTTGGCTCACGGTCGGAAACCTCAAGTGTGAGCCAAAAACGTCCACTTTTTGTTGATTTTAGGTCAGTTTTTGTGCGATTAAACGCATTTTCTCAAAATTTTGTCTACCTGGATAATGGATGATTTGGCTATGGTCGATTTTGGGCTTAGCTTAATGGATAGTGATAAAGTTGACCTTGATCTTAATTTTCATTCTACTAAACATACTATTGTAAAATTCCTTGGTAGATAAAAAGCAATCATCAACAAAAATTTTCTAATCGTTGTGAACGCTGACTTATTAATACCATCGGTCTAAAACAAGTCGAAGGAGATCATCCTTCTAGTAGCAACAATCATCGATAATCTTACAAACGTGTGTTATTGGTTTCCATCCTACGACTCACAGTTCGCTCGAGTTTCGAACATAATTTTTCATCCATATGCAAACATTAGGTAGGGAACAAGATTCACTTGGCAAGAGTGCTTAAAATAATTGAAAATTTGTTCTAGGTTTCTGTACATCATCTTTCTTATTTTATTCAATTGAAATAAATTATATCTGAGAGTTTCTCAAACAAATCTTATATTACTCATGGAAACAGAGTAAAGAGATAAATCTAGTGACAATTTATACGTAAAAGTATGCTTTGATAACATAGTTAGAAACAATCTGTATAAGCTGTTTTTTCACGTTTATACGGTCAATGCATGATACACTTACTTTTCTTATATAAATTATACTCTAGGGCTCATTTTCTTTACCGGTGGATGTATGGGTGTGTAAAAGAAATAATTGTATTCCAAACTATTTATGATTGTTGTTTGGGCCTTATATCAGCGTCGTCATCAGATAAATTTGGAACTTCAGTCTCTAAAATAGTCTGGTGAAACAGAAAACTGTCGGTGCAGATTTTCGCTTCTCTGATTCTCACACTTCACTCGGGCACCAACATTCGCCAACCAATATTACATCTACACCAGAATTCAACAAAATTCCACAGACCACTACTTCACTCACACCGATATCCCGTATTCCGTATATATATCCCATATTCATATGCTTTTTGTGTTCATTGCGCTACTCAATGAGTACAAATATAATTTAAATTCTGAATTATGCTCTCAGGTTATTTTAATCTTAACACTTTCATCTGTAATTAAGATGAGCTTCATCTAGTTTCATTTTTATATTATACTGACTCCATGTCAAATCAAATCCCACATCATTAGATATACTCTAGTGACGAGTAGTAGAGTACGCTGCTGACGTCAATCTTTCGTCATCATTAATTATCTATGGAATAAACAATCTTGAAATGCATATGAGCGTTTTTTGATCACCTTGAATTCATCCGGGTCCTATACTTGAGTATTTTCGCTTATTTTTCAACTATAACCTTTTCAATTTAGTGAAACGTATCAACGTCGTATTTGATCAACGATCATTTGCAAAAGAAAAGATCCTCAAGCAAAAAATTAGATCCTAATCAGCCAAAACTGGCACGAATATGCTGAAGGCTTCGACTAGGAATAAATAGACGAAGTTGATGACGTGGATAATACAACAAAAGAGTCGGAAACATTAGAGGACTTTCAAAACAGCTCCGATGAAGTAGAGAATGATGCT